TTCACCTCTAGGCGTTTTAAAATGAATTAATTTTAGTTTAAATTTTTAATTCTAATTTGGGTTTAAGAATTAATTTTTTAGAATTTCGAAAAGTTTTTAAATTAAAAAATTGGCAACCCGGTTTGATATACATACATAAATACACAACATGTTTTTGGAAACTAATGATTTTTTTTAATTTTCACACAAAACTCGATAATGCAGCAATACAGCAGCATATTTTAAAATAAAATATAATAATTGGAAAAGAAAGCAAATAATAATTCTATAACGCATTTAAATTTATCGATAAAAGTTGCCAGTAGCGAATTAGACTCATGAAAACACTTAATTATTTCACACATACATACAAATCAAGTAGCTAGTTAGTTTTAGTTTTTTGGAAACTAATTAGTTCTTTGAAAACATTAAAAATGAACGTACTTTGTAAGTTAAAGCCTGTTAAACCCTGTAACACAATTAATTTTAGAACATATCCTAAGCGCATACATACATATAACGTTTTCCTTGTCAGTACTTACTAAAGAGGAACTTAGCTTAGTCAGTGTCGTAAATTTGCTTGTACTTGAAAATAATGTTGAACATTTTAACGTAAAGTTTTTGTTATTTTCATGTTTTACCTGAATTTTCATACTCAAAATGCTTAAAAAATTCACCAAAACACTTTTGTTTTCCTAAGTTTTCTATGCATTCAACTTTTTCTCGTTGAATTTACAAAATTTAGTGTTTTAGAAGCCAGTGTTTTAATTTTACTCTGCTGACTGTGGACATTTTCGCTCCTATTTCTGTTTAAATTCTTTAATTTAGCGCGCGAAACCAACAAATTTTAACTTACTTATCACTTTCATGCATTACCACACATGCACTCGTCTCCTTCCTTCGCTCCCTCCCTGCACTTCATTAAATTAAGCTTTGTCAAGTTTTATTTACACGCCCAACAAACGCAACGTTGCATTTTATCACTTAGCTGTAGTTGTTGTATTGGCAATTCATATTCCCGTTATACATACACGCACAACGATCGTCGCACACGCACACACATACGCGATTCTTCGGATAACCACAAGCAAGCTCCACGCGTCTCTTATACGTTTCCGTTTCCCTCGCACATTCGCCGCTTACATGTAACTGTTGCTTGTTTGTTATCCTAGATCACGCACAATTTCGATTTTGTCGCACATTTCGGAATCGGGTATGGTGGTGAAGTGTGTGCGATCGCTGCGAAATGTATTGCGTTCGTTCGAACTCGTCTTAATCGAACGTTCCGAGGGCGTCTCCGTGCCGCCCAGTTGTATGCGCTTCTGCAATGCTGACACGAAGTTCTGCAATGAGGTGATTAGTGGCGTCTAAGTCAATATAGTTGTTTTTTTGTTGTTTTACGAACCTGTGAAATAATGTCGCCGCGCGCCGTGCGCACCTGATACAGATAACGGTACTTGCGTTGACTGGCCTCTTCGCGCGTTTCGCGCGGTCGTCCGCTCATGCGATTCGTCGGCAAGCCGCCGGCACCGCAGCGAGCCATCTGGTGGTGGTGCCGCAGATAGACGCGCTTGCGATGATCCACGCGCCAGGCCGTGATGAAGCACTGCACCATTATGCTGATGATGATTGCCACCGGCCAGGAGCATATCAAAATGCCGCCGTAACAAGGCGGTGGCAGCGGATTCGGTTTCATATTTAAAATCTTAAATATTATTAACAGTACAAGTTGTTGTTATTTAATTCTTTTCTTGTAGTTTAACTTAATAAAATTTAATATTTACTGCAAGTAACGGTCATTAGCGCTAACACTTACCCAATTTATCGTGTCTAGGTTGTGCATGAAAAAATCGATAGCGGTAATAATCATCGCGCTGCCAACGATACTCGAAGTCAGTATGGTCACATATTTGGCGCAGCAGAACGTCAGCACCGAGCAAATGACGGCGCCACCCGCGATAGCCACATAAATTTCGCGATACTACAATAATTTGCAAAAAGTATTTGTTTTTATTGTTTTATCATATGTTCTGCATTGATACTCACGCCAAAGTCATTGTCTGGCATTGTGGCCACACACACGGCCATCGCTGCGCCAGCTACCAGTGCGCCCGCGAATGCGCTAATCAATATCGATGCTACCGGGTATGTCGAACCAATCACGGCACCCAGCAAGCCCGCCACGATCGCTAGTGCCGAATCGGTTGGTTTGCCGAGCAGCGTTACATGAAAGTCCTGTAACATGAAAATGGCGTTGGCACCAACCATCAGACCGCTTAAGAAACCCACCGCGCGCAGACAGCGGTAGCCTGTGAATTGAAAGAAAATAAATTATAAGAAACAACATTTGCTGCAGGTGCCATAAGAAATGAACAATAAAAAGAAAAACAGTTTAGAAGGAAAATCCGGTAAGTCCAAACTTTTTTCGATTTTTAGATATTCCACAATATGCAAGCTTATAGAAGCTTTTAGGAGAAAATGTCCAATATATGGTATCCGTGCATAAATGTACTATTTGAAATCGTATTTTTATGTGAGAGTGTTTGAATTCTCACGTTTAAGTCAAAACGGGTCATTTAAGGGTAAAGGTTATGCGAAAGACCTGGCTAGGTCAGCAGAGGAAGATCTCCACTCCGTTGGAAAAGCCAGGTAGAGAAGGATTTGGCTTCGCTTGGAATTTTCAATTGGCACCACCTTGCGAAAAGAAGACTTGGGCGCTATTGTTAACTCGGGTATAATCGCGTAAGCGGTGTCATAAGCCAGTAAAGAAGAAGAAAGTCATTTAGGGAAAATATGTACTATTTCAAACATTCGCTGACACAATAGCCCAAAGACCCTTTTAAGTGCAATAAATGTTGTAAATAATGTTATGTTGTAATCTACAAGGGCGGCTCGATAAGTCGGATTGTATAATCAAACCAATATCACCCTGTGACCGCTTTGTCTTTCTCCAGATAGTTGTTGAAGATCACATCATGTATAACCCTTCGATTTCTTCAAAACACTTTTGTCGGTTCTATTCTCTTGTCGATCCATGTTTCGTCGTCGGCCACGAGCAACGCAAGAATTCCTACTGACTACACTTGTTGCCCAGAGTGAGCAATCTAGGCACCAATCGCGCCGACAGATTTTTAAGTCGAATATTTTATGCAGAATATGACCCAAACGATATTTGTGGATCGCATACTATCTCGCGCATCTTCAGTTTGAGATCGTGGACTATTGTCGAATTATCCTACCAGTTAGTCGTTTTCGGATCACTTTGGCGCGGCTAACCAATAACCGACCAAATTTCGACAATCACAATCGGTGGAGGAGAGTCCATGTATACAGCATCCCAGCGCTCTTTTACTACGGGATTTAGATTAAAACAAAAAAGAATCGAATCACTGATATTGCTCTGTTTCCATTTTTTTATAATCCTCTAATAATCCATTTAGACACGCGCTTATAACAAAACTACGGGTCCAATTCGGTAGAGCGCGACAAAGAGGCGGAATTTGTCACGAGGGAGGTTGATTCCTATTAGTACCAACTAGCATGTAGATGTCTCTTTATTGAGAAAGTCAATTAGAAAAATATTTCTTTTTTCGAATTGTTTTCAATGCAATCTGGGAACAGTTGCCTCACTACTTACCGAGCAGCGCGTAAACAATACCAAACACCGCCGTAATTGTCCACAACAGTGCGGCCACAGTGTCCGGTGTTGTTGTTGTACAAGATGGGCTTTCTAGAATGCCCTACAAAAATGAGAAAAATAAAAAAAGTATTTAAGAAACCATTAAAATTTTTATATTGTGATAAATATATTTCTATATATATGTGTGTGTGTGTGTGCGAGCAATCCATTTGTGGCGCCAACCGAACGACTTCGTAATTGAAAACTGAAATCAATCAGCACGACACGAAATCAATATGCTCGAATGCAATTGCAAACTTATTCACTTCATCACACCATTTTCAACCAAAAAGGCGGAAATGTAAACAAAAACAAAGATTGGTGTTAATAAAATTGTTGTATGCGCAGGCGAAAGTGCTCCAACTTAGTACGCTGGCAAACCGCTCGCCAAGTAACGGTGCTTGATAGCAGTGTGGGCGGCGGGTGACATAAGTGGCATGAATTTGTATACCCACTGTATGTATGTGTGCGCTAAGAAGTGCGTCATAACCGCATTTGAATGCATTCACAACAACACAAGCGAAAAAAAAACAACAAATATCAACAACAATCGCAATAATACTATAACAGTCCGCAGATGACTGCTGGCGACGAGAAAATTGGCGGCGGTGGCAACAACAGGCGACAACTTACACTTACACACACACCCATACACATGCATATATGTGTAAATAGAACACACAAAAAGTGGGTCAATTCCTATGGCGGTAGTCATAGAGCAGTTGAAGCACTGCTGCTGCCGCCTGCCGCAAACAGGTCGGCGGAGGACACTCGAATTTTGCAATCAAGCAACGCCAGTGGCAACACTCAGCGCGGTGGCTTGCTGCAACGCATACGGTCAACATTGTAAACAACAAATACATATGTTGTAGTGTTTAAACTACAACAAAAATAAACACATTAATGCATTTTTTACATTTTACACATTTTACAAGTGAAAAATCAACAATGAGCGCAGCTAAAACACAAGACCGCCGTTGGCAGCGCACAAATGGAGCACTAATAACCGCCGCTAAAGCAAAAGTAATGATTGCAGCAACGAATTTTTGTGTACAAACCACAGTCAAATTTAAGATAAAGCGAATTGAGAATCGCCGACTATTTCCGTATTATCCTTTTTCGATAAATCTGCCTTTTTAAAGAACAAGTCGCAATTTGCTGTAGTAAAGAAGTGCATAATCAGTAGTAGCGGCGTTCACATCATAAAATAAAGAATAGAAATCGTAATTAGAATATTCATGCATCCCATTTTCGTTTAATGAAGGAAATTTTGCATTTCTAATGTCAGTGAGAAAAACATAACTGCCTCCATAAAGCTGCATGTATGCTAGAAATTTTAAAAATAGTCGGCACAGAGTAAATTTCCAGATCGATATCTCAAAGCTTTCTTCTTTACTGGCATAGACACCGCTTACGTGATTATAGCCGAGTTAACAACAGCGCGCCAGTCGTTTCTCCCTTTCGCAACGCAGAACCAATTGGAGATTCGAAGCGTAGCCAGGTCCTTCTCCACCTGTCCTTTCCAACGGAAAATATAGTATACTTTTAGGCGATAAGCCATATAAAAGGCTTTAATACTATCAGAAACCGTTGTTTTGAGAATTACGTAAATACATTTTTTTACGCATAGGCTTCATTTTGCTTGGGATTGATAACCTCCTGCGACTTCGAAGCACCCACTGCTTGTTTAGAAGACAAGAAAGTAAAATGTAGAAAAATTCGGTAATTTCGAGCATTGCGCTTTGTATGCCATGCCTACATTGTACTTGCAAATGTATGCGTGCATGTGTGTATGACATGAATTTTTCGGCAAGTAAATTCACTTTTCAGCATGTTTAGCAAACACAATAGCACTAGTAGTAAGAATGCATAAAAAACTAGCACAAAGCAAACAATGTGCAAAAAATGCAAAAAGTTTTGAAGAAGCCGTTGCGAACACCCACAATAGCAGTCAGTCGGTGTAATGAAGTGAAAACCTACCAGTGCGCCCAATTCTGTGGCTCATTTATCACTTTCACAGTTCATGACAATTTTAACCAAATTTGCCTTTGCTTTGTGCGCGCAACTCATTTTGCCCACCATTCTTCTTCTACTATCTGCTCATCTGCATTTTTCGCACTTTTGTGGCTTTTGCGGCTTCTGGCCTTTGCAAAAGCAAGTAAAAAGTCCTTGCGGTTTTGATTAGACAGACGTCAGTCCGACCTCAATGCGGAACTACTCATTTGAGGGAATTATAATCCGGAGTGTGGGTATTTAGGACAACTTAAGTTATGCGACTGCACTTAACCTGGCTTACAGAGTTACGAATATTATTTTCAAGTAATTTTCAAGAGTGCTTCGATAATTTGTAGAAGGTCAATCGCAATTAAAACAGAGTTTGCTTAATATTCTAGACTTGGCCTCTAGTTCAGAGTTCATTCAATTATTGTACTCGGCTTCGTCGCTCAATACTACCGGGAGTCTGATTTTAATAGCGCGCGTTAGCAGAAACAAATAATAATTTATTAGAAACAAAGGACTTAAGGATTATATTCCTTTCATTAGATCAGCAGCATTTCAATCATAAGCTTGAGTTAGGGTTAAACAGACAGTCTGTATGCAAATCTGATTAAGCTCAGAGCTCATGGAGGTCCTCGCTGAACTATTTGCTTTAAAAGTAACTCGGTCTCGCCTGTCACCCAAAAGTATATAGCTTGTCGTCTATTGCCAGCGGAATACTGTACCAAATAAATTTTCCATATCGATGAGGTCTACAGAGTTTGTCCGGAAAATAATAAGACGCGACTGTACTACGGAGCCTGCGCGCACCGACTGGATTCGAGCACCTGGAGAGTGAGGACAAACATTTTCGCGTGACGTGTTTCTGTGAGTCGCCGAAAATACTGCGTTCTTTGGAGCAGGGGTATGCGATTAAATTCTGTGTGAAGCTCGGTAAATCTGCGACAAAGATGTTTGATATGATTAAGGTGACTTACCCAGATGTTTCTTTGGCAAGAAGTGTTGCAATTCGGACTTTTTGGAAAGCCGGGAAGAGGTCACTGTTGGGAGACCGGCGACTTCTACAAACATCGTCAATGTGACTCGTGTGCGCAAAGTTTTGAACTCAGATCGTCGACTAAGTATTCGTTTAATTGCCTAGATGTTAAATTTATCAAAATCTGTGGCTCATGGGAATGTGACGCAGCACTTGAACTTGATTTTAAATTACAGTACGACAATGCCTCGGGTCACACCGCCTTTCTTTTGAATAGCTACCTAACCAAGGCTGGCTTCCCAACGCTTCCGAAGCCGCCTCACAGCCCAGTTGTGGCCTCCACGGACTGTTTTGTTTCCTTCCCTGAAAAGGCCGAAAGGCAAGCATTTAAGACTACAGAGGGGATCCAAGCAGCATGCACCTCGGCTCTATTCCAGAGAATGCCTTCCGTGACGACAAGCAAATTGCTCAAATGCGTCCTCTATGGCATACTAGTATAGTATTAGTAAAGCTGCTATACAAACTATATACGTTTTTTTTGTTTGTGAAGAGTATTATAGTTTTGTGATTTTACACCCTTTAATATTTTGCATACATTCAAGGACATCAATTTTTGTGGTTAGGTTTATTTGCGATGTAATTTCCATTTCGTTCAATACTGTCAGCCCTGTTTTTTCACTACTTTCAGTTTACATTCGCACAAACAAAAAGAATCCCGACAACGTCGTTTTTTCTTTCATAGTTAATAAGTCAACCGACTTTGTGAGGCTTATAGAGTTTCTAATCCTTTCAATCAACACTGTCAGCGTATTTTCCCCCCGCTTTCTTTACACAACCGCATTTCCGTTTGCTGTGTCATAGCTGATAGCAAGAACTTTTCACAACATTCAAGTAAGCGTGCAAACCATAAGTGAATGCACACAAGCGTTGCTCCACTGCAGCGGTGGCCAGGTCAGGGCCTAATCGCGCTCGTTCGTTAGCTCGTTGGCGCCCTATTACATACATATGCAACGCATATACATATGTATATATGTATTACATACGAGTATATGTGTATATATGTTTGTGTACTTTTGTATAAACGTATACAAACACTCACCTTAATCAAGAAGGGCCAATCCAAGTTCTGCAGCTCGCGTGTGTCATCATGGCCATGACGTCGCTCATCCTCACTTTCGTACACGTTCACGGAATGCATTTTCTCCGCACACTGAAAAACACTGTTTTTTCTTGTTTTTGCTGTTGTTGCAATGTATGTGTTTTCTTTTTTGTTTGCCAAAGCAATTGGCCTGCTTTCAGCCAACTAAAGAGATGCTGCAGCGGCTCTTTTGAACTGGGCGTATTCTCGCGTGTTTGAGTGAAGAAAAATATGATGCTGTACGCTCAAACGCAGCACGCAGTTAATATTTACAAAATCTCGATTATGTTTATGAACAATTTTTTGCTCGTCCAGCTATTGGCAGTTGGTGAGCCGTGGTAAACACGCCATTACTACGTTTCTCTTTTGCTGACCCAACATTCTACACTTGTTTAACGCAAATTTTTTGACTGTCATCCTTCTATAACCTACACATATAGGCTTAATGGCGTGAAAAACTAAAAACTCGAAGGAAAGTGAAATTGTTTTCATGCGCTCAGAAATTAAGCAACAAAACGCACGTTAGTAACAATTTCGCAGTTATTATTTATTTGTAATTGCTTTTTGTTAATAAATTTTCCACACACATAATTTTGTGATTTTCACTTTTCATTTACATTTTTGCTTGTTTTTCTTACACACACGCTTCCTACCCGTGTAATAACCTTTTGCGACTGCGAGCATTTGTTCGCCACTTTACATGAGCGCTGCCGATTACTCGTCAGTTGCAGGGACAATTCCGAATTGTTGTGGTACGGTCAGTGGCACATTTTCCACCCTAAACAACGAAAATTGAACGAATGTGAAAAAGGAATCGTATTATAGCATGTGACAAAAGGAGCGAACAAATTACCATATGAGGATGCCGAGAAGTAAAACCAGCGGCAAAGCGCGCCGCTATCAATGGTTGGGCGGCTGACTGTTTGGCGTATAAATGCCTTTATAACTGTTGGACGTTGTTGTGCTCTTTGTCCGTATGTATATTGTTTTTGTAAACACACCTCACACTGTGCTTTTGTACCCTGTTAGCGGTAACCGCTGTTTTGCTTTCTAAAGCCCTGTCGATTACAGACACGGAAGCATAGTATGTGAATTTGTATAAATATTCTATTTGCTTACACTTTCGTAATTTCCGAGTTCAGTTTTTTAAACAAATTAAAATTATTGTTATACATTTTTGATTTTTTTTTGTTCAAATTGTTTTTAGCTTTCTTAAATAATGCGATTTTTTTTCTTTTTGTTGTCTTAAAATATTTTTTTATTCAACATTTAAAAACAATTCTTTCTTTATTTAATTAAAA